TAGCAACATTATTTGTTTGACTGCGTGCGTGTTCGGTTTTAAAAAAAGTGGGGGGTCGAGGGGGGGGAGCAGCCTCCTCTTCGTTCGGGTCTCAGGTCGCTGGGTCTATCCCACCAAAGATGAAGCTGAGTATACTCCTGACTTGTGCCACTTTCTTTGTGCGCAAGCTTCTGCTACAGTTTCCTCTCCCTCGGCCAGCCGTCCGTCGTCCGCCAGGGCGAAACTGCGCGCAGCAGTCAGAGCATCAGCTGGCCATCAAACCAGGTCTATGCCTTCTCTCACCCCAGAGTTCAAATGCACCATGCGCTTTGAGGAAGTTCCGCCTGGCTGCGACGTCAAAGTGTTCCCCTGCTGATTCCTCTGTCACGGGGGAGAAAGCTGACACATCAGCAATGCCAGTTTCCGCCTCGTCAACGGCACCGCCTTCGAATGCTGAGCCTCAGTGCATCCGCGCCAGGTGGTGGGAGTGTACCACACCATGGAAGAACATCTGGAGAAAGCCCTTGCACTCCCATGCCCCGGGGACTCCTCCTTAAGGTTGCCTGACCCCCTTAGGAAAAATCTGTTTTTGATTTTAACCAAAGGACCCGTGGCGGAATGCGCTTGGAAGCCCTGAAACAGGTCAATAAGTTGGCGATGAATTTGGCAGGGGACGAGAAGGCCCTCAGAGCGTCTATGCGCCCGGATGTCGAAAAAGTCACGAGGGGGAAAGCCATCTGCCTTTCCAGACGTGGGTGTAATCGATTTGTTAGTGCAGGGGGTGCCTCTCATGGACGGGTTGAGCTGTGCTCCGAAATGAAGTGTAAGCCAGCCTTACTTGGAAAGACGCTAGACCTCAGCAAGGCCTACCGCCAGGTGGGGATTCACCCTGAGTCCAGGAAACACGCCGTGCTGGGGTTCCCCGATGAGTCTGGAGAGTGGCAGCACTACCTGGCACTCTCTCTACCATTCGGAGCCTCTGCAAGTGTTTTTGGGTTTAATAAAATTGTCTTGGCGATTCTCCGCATACTAGTGGTGAAGTTTCTGGCTCTGGCCACGGACTTCTACAACAACTACACCATCTTTGAGTTCCAGCCTGGAGCCTCGTTGATGGATAAAATCAGCGTGCGCTTGTTGTCCCTTTTGGGATGGGCCTTCGCCAAAGAGATTATAGCTTCTCCTGCGCCGCGGGACGCCGGGGACGCCAGGGACGCCGGGGACGCTGGGGACGCCGGGGACGCTGGGGACGCCGGGGACGCCGGACGCCAGGGACGCCGGCTGGGGACGCTGGCGACGCTGGGGACGCTGGCTCGGCATGCCGGCCATTGAGGGGTGGGGCGGGGCAGAAAATACGCGCATGTCAAGGTTGCGCAGCGGATTAGTGCTTTCAGTTTACAATTCAGGCTTTACGGGCTCATAGAGTTGGAAGGGTGCTCTTGGAGCACCTGCAATGATCTTGCAGCGAGTGCTCTTGGAGTGCACATCGTGTGGCGACACTCGCCGCTTGAAGCCTGAAGATGCCCGAGCCTCTTGAGTGCATCCTTGAGTGGCAAAGAATGTCATGGATCCCAGGTAAAGCTGGCAGGTCATGTGGTTCTAGGGGAAGGGGGAGGTCACGGGCAGGGTTGCTGGGGGTGTTTTTTTCAGGTCCCTAAAACGGTCTAGGTCTCCTGTACGACGACGACGACGACGACGACGACGACGACGAGGACGAGGACGAGGAGGAGGAGGACGACGACGAAGCCCCAAGGGGGGCAAGACTGAGCGTCCATGGCGTCCTGCGCTGGAGGAGAAGAATTAGAATTGTAGGGGTGTGGAGTTGTAGATCTTTCTACCGTGCTGGGACATGAAGCCTGTACCGCATTGCATGGAAAGCGCTAGGCCCCTTGACTTTGGTACAATGGTTCAACCGTTTTGGTTTTCGTCTGTTCTACGTATTTTCGCACTCTTGAGAGTTGATGTGGCCAATCCTGCGGCGCCACTCAGAATAGGCTCCAGGGCATAGGGTATACGAGTTGGTGGCAGATTACTTCTGTCCGCAACATGTATGTATGGCAGTCGTGTTTTGAACTTGAAGACTTGTGCAGTGACCTGGCCACCCGGGTTCGAGGCATTGTGATGACAGGATGAGGAGTCAGAAGCTATGTAGCTGTGTTCAGTCAGCAGGGAACAGTGTAAACCACCTGAGCCCCGTCATATCTTGCAGTTCTTTATGAAACAGGCCACATAGAACAGGCAGAGTTGCAGCACATGGTCTCTAAAAGGGAAGGACAAGAAGATGCGTGAGCATGCTGGCATGGAACAAGGAGCGGGCGCTGCGAACCTTTGAGGCTTGCGATCCGGCAGGTTTAGTGGGGCCTGGTTTGCTTGGGGCGTTCGCAACTGCCGTGGCAGAGCCGGGGCCAGTGACGGTGTACTTTGCTCACCCTTGCCCCCGCTGTGGAGAGAAACTTGGCAAAAGATGTGAAAGGGAGGCAGCAGTAGTGACCTGCAGCGGCGTGGTCAGATCGATTCATGTGTCTCAGCGATGCGGCAAGCGTGGTATGCGAGCTCTACCTGAAGCAAGTGTGGTCCAACTTTGTGTCCCGGGAGAAGGAACATGAGTGGTTGGATGGCCCTTCCGGCTTGTGGCCGTCCAACGAAGAAGATATATGCATGATATCGCCGCAGTTCGGCGTGACCAGAAGCTGGCACTCACAATTTTGCAGGCGGATGCTGAAGCAGCATGCATCTTGGACGTCGGAATCACAGATTTTGGGTTTGGATAAATTCTTTCCAAAAGCTGCGCGCGCCTGGAATGCTGGAAGACGCATGGCTGAAGCTTCAGCTGAAGAAGCGCTGGCACGAAGTTGGGAAGGGACCTTTTCTGTTGAGCCAGGCGTTTACCAGAACCTTTGGCCAGTGTATCTAGGCTGGTACAGAGAGGGTGCTTATATGTTCTGGTACCGGGAATCGCCTTTTTTTTTTGACAGGCTTCAAGGGATGTAACTAGCGTAAGATGGCCCTGTGCAGTCCTCACATGACCCGTTGGTGTCGTATAATGGCCGTGTAAAGCCTTTTTTTGTCCCGTTGGAAAACATTATAATAGTGCCGGCAAGAAAAGATTTCTGCAAGTCTTCTAAGATGGCAACTCCCCTTTGTAACTATTGCCTGTGGCCCAGAGTAGGGTGGTGTGGCCCCTAAAAGAAACATTGTGGAAGCGGAAAAGGGGATGATGGCCCCTTGCTACTTCAGTATGGCCAGTCGAAACCGCGCAATAGCCTGAACTCTAGCAAGCCAAGGGCAGTTGTAAGAAACCGTGTGCTATTGTTGTTAGCGAGTTGTCAGGCAAGCAAAAGTACGACGAGATCATGTCACGAGGCAGAGCCGAAGCTGCAGGCGGACCAAGGGTAATTGTTATGGACGGCAATCAGAAGATGACACGCCGCACGTGCTGCCAACTGATGTCGTCAGTGGAGACGGTGCAAGGCACGAACATGCGCTACTACCAACATTGCGGGGAAACGCCAGCATTCAAAGCCGTGTTTTGTCGACACCATTTGGCCCCTCCTCCTGGTGTTCGAGCCAACGGGAAGCGCTCTCCCCCAGAAGAAGTGGAAATCACGAAGCGAGTTTGTCTGGACAAAGATCCTAGAAGGCTACTGCAGGCGCGCAGCGCCGGTCGCACAGTGGCGCTACCGCCGCCGCTGCAGCTTGCAGGTTGTCTACGAGCTGCTTCCGTGGCAGCGTGCCGGCAGCGCCGCGGCGTTCAGGACGTGGGCACCGATGCCTGCGATGATTTCGTGACCTGCAGGACGTCGAAAATGCCGCTGAGATTGAACAAGCGGTCGGGCGGGTGGCTGTTGGCCTGCACTGGTGATGGGGTGGTGACGTCGTTGATGGAATTCTACGGAGGGGAATCTCTGACACAGAGAGCTGCATTTGTAGCGGCCATCATATCCGAGTACCCCACTCGTACAAGCTGTGGTGCATGACGACGCATGCCACTTGAGACGATTCATGCAAAGGTGGTTTTCGGCATATCCTCATCTATGCTACCCAGCAATTCGTTTCATCATTGACAAGTTCCACTACCGAGGACATCGGGACAGCTGGTGCAGGGCCAACTGCGCGCCGACACTGCCAGAGCATGATACGATTCTGCAAAGTGTAAACGCCAGCCGCTGCGAAATATTGTTTCAATGGTTTTCGCAACACAAGCACTCGTTCAGACATATGAGTCGGCTGACTGGCCATTTTTTTGTGAGCGAGCTCATTGACATGCGCAACGCGGCAACTGGCGCCCGCAGGGAAGCAAGAGCAGCAAGAGGCCTCACGGCAAGTTCTGGCTGAGGGATGATGCGGTTACATGCGGTGGAGTGCTCATGTGTTGGGCACTGGTCCATGCAGAAGGGAGATCCGGGGCAGCAAAAACAACAGCTGTCAGTATGTTTTGCTTGCTGTTCATGTCACATTAGAGCCCAGAGCGCTTGCATCAAAGGGCTACGCGGGCCTCAGGAACTCCAAAGAAGTCAGGTTAAAGACTGGACTGACTCTAGTCTTGTCTTGTAGTACCCACAGATGATCCTTTGTTTCCGTATCAACCCAAGGAGCGCATTTTTTGTTGAGGAATAGCTTGCGTGTAGAACGTATCTGGAAACGTCGGGGACGTCGGGGACGCCGGGGACGCCGGGGACGCCGGGGACGCCGGGGACGCCGGGACGCCGGGGACGACGCCGGGACGCCGGGGACGCCGGGGACGCCCGGATGCCGGGATGCCGGGACGCCAGGGACGTCAGGGACGCCGGGGACGCCGGGGACGCCGGCGTCGGTCGAACATGTCGCCGGAGGAGGTATTATGGATGTTTAGGGGGCAAGAGAGGCTAGGTTGCGGATTTTACGGGTCTTGGAGTTTGGATGTTTAGGGTTTATAGGGCAGAGAAGTGTTACTGAGGTATTAATAACACGTCCCTAGGCAGACCCCACCAAGCCCAAAAACCTAACAGGGCTCCACGTGGGCTCCCCAGACTTTAGGGTGTAGGATTTGTGATTATGCAGGGGTGCATAGGATATGTATGGGGACTGGAAAGACATGAAAGCTGCTATGTGTTTCAGGCTTTGTGGCTTTGGGAGTGCATAGTCTCTGCAATCTCTTCTTTTTGGGGTTTATGGTTTAGGGTTTAGGGGTTTAGGGTTCAGGGGTTTAGGGTTCAGGGGTTTAGGGTTTAGGGTTTAGAGCATATACTCCTAGGTATTTCAAGACAGACTCCTATATACCCCCACAGGAAGAAAGAGCCCATGTGAAAACACCTAACGTGAGGTGGGAAGTGCTAAAAGCAAGGCATCACTTGCCTGAACTTATTTAAGCTAGAGCCTAAACTCCTCAAAGGGGTCTATATAGCGGATTATACAGGGTTTATTAAGGGGAATACTAGACATGAAAGCTATAGCTTATTTAGATCAACCCTAGAATTAGTCAGCAACCCCTCCATGTTTCAGATCACAAGCCCCAAACCCTAAACCTGCAGGACCTTCCGACTTGTTGAAGCCAACGCGTTGGCCCACCCCCCCTCCAAACCTCAAAATATGCAGCCTGAGAAATATGAGTAATTCTCACAAAATTATCGGCTCCGTTTGGGTATAGATTAGTATTTAGGGATACCAAAATGGGACCCCAATCTTTGGGAACTACCCAAATGAATCGAACCACCTCAAGATCTCGGAGCCAAACCTTGACGCCTTGCTCCTCAACTTAGAGTCTCTTGGACTGATCCCGAGTGGCACCATCTCAAGATTAACCCTAAGGGTCCAAGGACCCAAATGATAAGGTCTTAGGGTTCAAACATTATAATATGAATGGTATTTTGGCGCTGAAACCCTAATATTTGGATCCTAAACCCTACATTGTAGCTTCCATTTTCTTTTCCATTATCCCATTATCCCTATATAACCCCTATATAACCCCTCTATATCCCCCCACTTTTTGGGTCCTTGGACCCTTAGGGTTATAAGAGAGGTGGAGCAAGCTGTTCGAGAACAGCCAATACGGGAGTTACCTTCCCCCCGGCTGTGCCGATCCAGATGTCGCCAATAAGGTTTAGGGTTTAGGATTTCGCGACTACCTCGTGGCCATCCAATCTTCCGATACCGCCACCGGTACCCGTCCCAGAGGGTCCAAGTACCTAATAATTAGGTATTTGGGTTTAGGGTAATTGTAATTGTGGTACCTGGACCCCCATAGTGGGTAAAATCATTGCCTAAACGCCTAAATACAGCCCAACAGGCCATTATTCTACGTACTTTTGGGGGTTCAGGTACCTCAACTTTTGAGAAACTTTTTTTTCTTTCGCAGGGAAACCTCGAAGTCGACCTCAAACACGAAGTTGATATAGGGATATACTACAGGGTTTAGGGATTAGGGTTTTGGGTTTTGGGTTTCCCAAAATTTGAGGTACCATTTTTTTTGGGGGGGGGTCTCCAGAATAAGGATTATATTTTATGACCCCAGCCCAACACTAGAGATTGTGATTCCTACCTGAACCCCAAAACTATGTAGAATAATGCGGGTCCAGGTAAACTCCAAAGCCTGTACCATGTATGTATCCCCTCGCTATCGGATGTCACATGTCGCGAATGATTTTCGTCTGGGTCAGACACTGGTGGGCATCCCGGCTACTAACTAACACAGGGACGACTTTGCAGAACCATTTCTTCAACCCTCGTGTGACCTACGAAGATCCTACCCTGGCCCTAGATCGAAAGCCTGAAACTTACCTAGCTCCAGACCCTAAACCCTACAAGACCCTCAGCTAAAAAATCCTGAATGCAAAACGCCCCAACCGTGCAGTCTTCCCAGTTCATGCTAAGGTTGCAGAGTGCAGATACGACCTCTAACCTTTTCAGGCAGCCGTATGGTTCATTCAGGATAGGGTTTGTTTGGGGTTCAGTGTTTGGGGCTTTCCAGGCAACTGTATGGTTCATTTTGGCAAGTAATGCTGGTGTATATACTGTAGTCTCTTAGGAACTATTTTTATATATTATCATAGTATTACCCCAAGAATTTGCAAGAAATAGCGTCTTTTTATTGTCTGGCAGATGACAGTATGGGGGTATGTAGCGTTTAAGGTTTAGGGCTGCTAGCAGGCAGAGAATGGAAGATCAAACTGAAATCGAACATAATGTGTAGGGTTTCTTGGTATGCAGTTATTAATACGCGATGAAAGAACCTGGAAGCTACTTTCAGGCTCTAGACCCTCACCCCTAGGTGTAGGCAATAAGGGAATAATCTGGACATGCTGCAACAAGCCAAGATCACCCGACCTCACCCAAAATGGTAGTTTATGTGAGAGTGGTCGCCACATTGCTTCGTTTCCCCTAAACCCTAAACCCCTAGACCCCAAACCCTAGACCCCTAAACCCTAAATACCTAAACCCCGTAACTTTAAACCCCTAAACCCTAAGCTGGCCAGTTCATGTGGCCTCTAGTTTGAGATCTCGGGACTAGTTGTACGGCTTTGGGATTCGGATCGTGGGACGGGGTGCAGTCTAAGCTTTCGGATTCAGACATCAGGTTTAGGGCTCAGGAATTAAGAGCTTGGGGGTGCAAAATTGCTTTTTGTTTCTTTCTTTCGGTTGTCCGGAGAACACATACCGGGTACAGAAGTCATCATTGATTTTATGGTCGTGGCCCTTTGCTGATTCCGACTTCCCTCAGATTGCTATGCGAACTTTGCCCAATCAGAGGGGGGGAATGGCCGCCACTTGTTCTGTGCCATGAGCGAGTTTCCCCAGGATGAAGACGCCCTTGGCCCCAATCCTAGCTAATCGTTTCATACAAGCATTGACCCCCCCTCAATCCCTGATATTAATTATGTTCCCCAATACGTCGGGTTCAAAATGAGGAATACTTTGTTTGTGCATGCGCGGGCTTCCTATTAGTATCTCTCCTCTCTATAATAGCCGCTATAAAAAGCCAGCTTCCATGTAACTTTCCAGTTCAGTGTTCCATATGCTTTCCCATGTTGAGGGAAACATCTAAAATCTAAACCCCAAACCCTACACATCCTAAACAACCTTAGACCAATATCCCTACGACGTATCCTTAGCTTCAAACCTTTATCAGTATAAGTTAGGAAGACTCCCACCCTGCAATAGTGGTATAATAGGAATATAATAGGACCTTAATATAAACCTTATTCTCCCTTATCGTCACTATTACAGGGTGGGGGGTCCACCTAAAGTATGAGGGGGATGTATCTTTCCCTGCAGCTCCCGGGCATACACGTCCTTCACAGGGTTCAGGGTTTAGGGTTAAGGGTTTAGGGTTCAGGGTGTAAGGGCTTAGGGTTTGCGCGTTTGGGAAGTAAGGTTATCAAAGCAGAGGGACTGCATTTATCCTGCATTGGCGTACCGTGATGCCCCATATCGTGCCTAATTTCTAGACTGGTCAGGACCATGTGGTAGTTGTTCAAGATACCTCAAAAATGACCATAGGACATGCTCCTTTTTGTTGGTTAGGATCTCCCTCCGAGGAAGTGCATTCCCCATGGCCCTTCCTTTAAAGGGACCTTTGGAACATCGACCACGTAGTCCTCGAGATGTTTGACTTCTAAACCCTACACCCTAAAACTTAAATAGTAATTTCCAGTATCCCAATATGTGCCCAATATAGCCCCAACATAAGCCTTTCAGCAGACGACCCGGCAGGTCCAAAAGAAGCTGACGGGACGCCTGCTGCGGCCAGCTGGCCTCTGCTGTTTCACACCTGAGACTGGTGCATCGGCAATTCAAAACAGTTCAACTCACAGTGCCGGCGGTTTTTATAGATATATATACATATATACATAAATCAAGTTAGCCAATGATGGGGAACAACATGGACAAGAACATCGAACATAATGAGGTCTATGGTCTACTAAACCCCAAACCCCTAAACCCTATTTCAGGTACCCTATACAATATATTACCATAGTATACACGAAATCTGAGCCCATAATAGGTTATCATCTAGGCTTCCATGTGAACCCCTTTTTCTCAGACCTGGCCCGACGCCTCCCCCCAAACCCTTGCAGACTTGCAGAAAGGCCTGTGCTTTTGTTCAGACACTTACAGCTGATACCAAAAAACCTGCATAGCCAACAAGCACTATATAGTACCATAACGGTCATGCAGGATTTGCAGTATCCACCGTATGCCTCCCTACGCAGCATACGGCCGAGGTGAGAAAGCCCAAAACACGCCAACAGCTCTAATGACAGCTTCGCTGGAGGGGCGCATTTACTACATGCTCAGTACGATGCGGAAGCGCCCGAACAATTGGTCATGCTAGCTTGTATGGCGCAAGTTCCTCGTTTTTGCTGAAGATGCGTTCGTCTCATCGAGAGTTATCAGGAAAGTCGATACACATGTATGGAACGTCATTGAAGCAGTATAGCACAGATCAGATCCCTATATATGTGCTTCTCATAAATATATGGGTTCTTTCTCAAGTTTCCCGCGCACCCTTCATCCGGAGATTTCCCTGCGCACCCTTCATCCGGAGATTTCCCTGAGGTCGTATTTGCGTTCCCAGCATAACGTACTCACAACTTCTGAAGTTTTGGTACTTCTTTGAGAGCCACATTGAGACTCGGGGCGTAAGAGGGGATAAGGGACGGCGGATCATAGATACAGGCTGCTACAGGGATCTACGGTGATTTTAAAGTAATTATGTAGAAGTATGGCCTCTTGGGCTGTTTTTTTTGGGTTTGGGCCATTATTCACCGCGCCCTCGGCCTCTCCCAGGAGGGTCCTGGGCAAGCTTAATGTACCCCGGAGCCCTCAGCCCTAAACTCGAAACCTTAAACCCCAAACCTCAAGTACCAAATCCTAAACCTTACAGGCAAACCGTATATACATAAAAAGGTACATTCCCTAAGGATCCAAGGACCCAAATAACACGGCCATTAGGGCCCAAATGCTGTGATATTCATGGTATTTGGGCCCTGAAGCCCTATTGTTTGGATCCTAAACCCTACATTGTAGCTTCCATTTTCTTTTCCATTATCCCTATATAACCCCTATATAACCCCTCTAAGGGACCTCAGGATTGATCATCCCGAAGCCTAACGCTAGACCCTGAGCCCTTAACCCGTAAACCCTATAGTCCCCCCTTAAGTAGATGGAATGTAGGGTTCAGGGTTTAGGGTTTAGGGTCCTATGGTCCCCCTTAAGTAGATAGAATATGGCGTTGGGTGAATTATAATAAGATCCCCATATACCCCATATTCTATCTACTTAAGGGGTACTATAACTCCTCAAACCCTCAATGCTCAATGTCCATTGCTTAAGTTTGAGCGAATTTTGGTCTTGGGGCCACAGAAAGTCTGCAGGACGGCAGTCCAACTGTTACGGTGGACGTCCGTATCGAGGCCTGGAAACATTCCACACGGCTTGGGGTTTCGGGTTGAGGGCTTAAGGCTTGGGGTTCATAGGGTTTAGGGGGTAAGTGGAGGGAATCTTGCACCACTTGGTATGCCCAAAGTTTGCGAATCCCCACATATTCCGGCCAGACAGCGTCTCGGGTCTAAGAAGCTACCTTTTCTGGACTCCTGCAGACAGAAACCTGCAACCTTAAACCCCAAGCAATGTTGGCCGGGTAGGTCGCCTGCACAAGTAATGGCTGCTGAGTGTCTCCCACTAGTAGCATTGCAGTCCTTGAATCGCGCGTAATGTTTTTTCAGGGGTTTAGGGTTTGCGGTGCTTAATCACTAGTCACTGGACGCCCCACAGACAGAGTTTCCATGTATCCCTGAGCCGTCTGAATCACATAAGCCCCCTAACCCCTTAAAAGGAACCCACCCATATTTCCATAATGTAGAATCATGAACACTCTTCCCTTATAAGCCCTGCATAGTTATGATAGAAGTTACCCTAAATCGGTATTCTAGTTACTCCTTGGCATTTAGCTAGGACCTTAGACCCTTAACCTTTAGGAGCTTCCCCATATTCCTATTACAGGTACCCAAAAGTTAGCTTTTAGTAGGGGTGCTAGGTGCCCTGGTGCTATTTAGGCTCCTACATGCAATCCTTATGAACCTAGATACTTCCAAAGCCCTTATATGACTTCTGCAAGCCCTTTTAAATGGGACCTCCCCAAACCCTAAACCCTAAACCCTGAAACCCTTTTGGGTTTAGGGTTTAGGGTTTTGGGTTTTGGGTTCAGGGTTTAGGGTTTCGGGTTTTGGGTTTAGGGTTTTGGGTCTCGTTGCTTAAAAGGCGGTGGAGCGACTTCCCAAGGAGAACATCTCCTGCACCTTTCGGAAGGAACCTTGGATGCTAACATTACTTGGGGATATGGTACGGGTAGGATGTTGGATGTAGGCGTTACTGGGTTAAGAGTTTGGGGAGTACTAGTACTAGGACCCTCCCAAAAAAAATAGTGTCTATGTAAGTCCTATTTGCGGGTGTTTGGGTTCTACAAGGGGTAGTTGTGGGGGTCGGGTAGCTACTTGGAGGGGTCAGGGGGGCTAACAACCTCAGCGATTCCTACTATCACGTAGTGCCTCTGCCCCCTGATCCATCAAGCAGGGTTTGGGCCTTAGGGTTAAGAGTTTAGGGTTTAGGGCAGGATTTAGTGTGTCAGCACGCCTTTGCAATTTGAAGTCATAGTGTGGCTGGACTAGGAAATGCATCACCTTATATGCAGTATACGCTAGGCGTGACCGTACAGACTGGGGTACTATGGAGGGGGTGGTTCACGGAGCCCATGATATAACCTGAGTCCTACATGTCCTGAATGCCAAGCCCTTCTCAAAGCGAAAATCCATCCATCCGACAACTACACTTGAAGCTAGAGAACCGACGCAGGTCCTTGCAAGGGCCAGTGGAACACAGACCATGTAGGTTAAGAATGA